CGTCACCAACTTTTCTGAAGGAGAGACGGCTTATGTCAAGGGGGGCTGGATTTCAAGAAGTTGCAGCTGGTGGAGAACGCCTCGAACTACGTCGCCCACGCTCCTCCTGGCCACCGAATGGAGCCCACAGAGCCTGGTGGGACTCCCATGGATGTCGACGATGGCTTTCTCAACGTGCAACACGCTGCGGTGAATGCTAGAGCGGCACAATATGCGATACATGACCGTCACGGTTTTGCTGGTAGCGAAGACGTCGAGATGGGTGTTCCCGGCGACGGGAGTGCAGGGGAGGCAGACGGAGACGTCGATGACGATGTGATTGTATCGATCTTCTTGCTGTTCATCACGCTTGGTGCAACGTTTGGAGCTCTGGACTGGAGATCACTTCGCGCTCCTCCTAGCGAACGAATTGTTGTCAGATCGGACTTTTACGCGAAGCTGAAGGAGCAGAGGTCCCCTTCGGCCTACCGAAAAACACTCCGCTGCATGCCGGCATCATTTGATGCCCTTTGTTCGTTCTTGGAGCCTTTGTACTACAGGAAGTACGGGCTACCAGAAAAAAACTTGCATTATTCTTTTGATTGGGGGGCTTGCGGTCTTACTAACCTACTACGGAAACGGGTGTGGACAAGACGATGATGGTATTGGAGGTGCAGCAGCACAGCTTGGGATGTCTCGGCCAGTTGCAAGTCGCTACATCAAGCGGCTGGAAAAACTCTTATACGGTATGATGGACGACGTGATTTACTTTCCGTCGCCTACTGCAGACGATGAGTGGGGGGGCGTTGGTGGACGGCTTTGCTGGGGAAAATCCCGATTTTCCAGATGTGGCATGTGTATTTGATGGCTCTAATACGGACTAGAAGACCCAACGACCATCAGGTAGATTGCTAGGTACTCTCTTGCTGTCTTCAAATTGTGATCATCGCTCCCTCAATTATTTCAGGGCTTTTACGACAAGAGCGGCAAGCCATCTTATAATTGTTTGGCTGCGATTGATTTCCGCTACAAGTTCCGGTACATTGGCGTTTTCAGTGGCAGTAACTCCGACCAGTCAATGTGGAATCAGTCTGTAGTACTTGGTGCTCGGGCTCGTGATATTTGTCCTCCTGGAGTGAATTGGGTGGGTGATGCGGGCTTCATGTTGTGGCCATTCCTGATGGTCCCTTTTGACGAGCGCGGTGGCAAGCGCCTCACGAAAAGACAGCGGAGGTATGATCTTCAATTTGTTTGTGCTATTTTTTATTTGATGTGCTTGAAATGTTTGCAGTTTCAATTATCATCTCTCTCAGACACGAATCATTGTTGAGCGCGTATTTGGAAAGCTGAAAGCACGTTTTAAGGTGCTTCACGGGGTCACGGATCGACGTAAACACGAGACGAACGCTAGGATGATATGCTCTGCTGCGGTGCTGCACAACATATTGATCGATATTGGCGACAAGCAGTTCAAAGGTGTGAGAGATATTGAAGCTCGGAAGCAAGCCAAAAATGATTCCAGGCAAGTGATGACAGCGTACAATCAGAACTGGGACAGAACGCAAGGTGAAGTTGACTTGGCGATTAGGAAGAGAAACATGTACGCTGACCGTTTCTACGAACGCGATAACGAGCAGAAATGACGCTCCGCCAACTCCTGTCCTCGTAAATTCAGCTATTCCGTGCTTGAACGATTGCCTCCGTTCGTCATTTCCGTGTAGAGATTTTTGGTAATCTGGTGAAGACCAGAAATGCTTTGAAGCAGTGCTTCGGCTGTGGCTTGCTGTGTGGCGTTTGCAGTCTCAATAGACGCCGTGAGTTTGCTGAAAAGCTGGGTCATTTCCAAGTTATTCGGCGCTGGTTGATGGCGAACCGAAAGTACTCTCTCAATTGTCTCGAGGCCAGAACGAAGGGTATCGCTGACAGTATCAATGGGACGCTTCACACCCGTCGAATATTTTTGCTGATTGTCGCGGCGTTTTTTCGCCTTTGCTTTTTCCTTGGCTTTAGCGCGAGCTTCACTTGGTGTGTCGGAGTCTTCGGAATCAGACGTCTCCTTGTTTTCGTCGCCTTCACTCTGAGTATTGACTACGGTGACGTTTGCAGCTAGACCTGACTCCGTGATTGCTTCTCCGGTGCTTCCAACGCGACGCGAGAATCCATCACACAAAAGAGGCCAAAGTGCTGCCAACTCGACACCTAGCTCAGCGCGATACTTCGCCTGTACTTTCAGAGGGTCACAAACCAACTTTGCGTGAGAAACGGAGATATCACTGTTGCTGCTGTCGCTTTCGTCGGAATAGCTGACGAAAAAATCAACAGGCATTTCAGGATACTTGCGCTGGGGCGACTCACTGTCGCCTTCTTCATCACTGCTGTTTTCCTGGACTCTGTTTCCTGTCCCCAGCAAACGAGTGCGTTTCTTTTTGTAACCGGATCGAATGTTGTTCAGCTTGTTCTTGAACTGCTTTACACTAACCCCGCGAGGTCCGTCATCCCCCCAAGCAAGTTCCTGCAGCGCACGCTCCTGGAAAACGTTGATGGTGTCCTCCCATATCGCTTGAATTGTTTTTGTGTCTGAAGTTTTTTTCGCGAACTTCGCCAAGATGCGTGGGTTTTTAAATCGAGCCTCAATTGCTAGAGCAGTCAGCTGGATCGTCCAGTGCATGCTCTTCACTTCTTGAACACCATCTGCTTCATTTTGTGTGTTTGCTTGCTTCGCCTTGGACGACTTCACCGGCTTCGGCTTCGTAGACGCAGCAGAGCTCTTTGGCTTCTTGGTCTTGCGTGTTTTACCATCTGAAGGGACATCTTCTGCGTTATCCTTGCTCGTAACTGGGCGGGAAACCCGTTTTCGCTTGGCTTTGGGAGCTTGGCCAGTGCTGGTAGTGCTGGTGATAGCAGCCATCGAGGCCTGATGAGCTTCAACAACCCTACGGCTGGGGCGTCTGCTTCTCTTGGGCATTCTCTCTGGTGTCAGGTCCTGTGCAGGCGAAGAAGGCGAAGCTTGTTCTGCAGCGTCTTCGTCTTCTGAGTGATCCTCTTCATACTGCGTGTAGTAAGGTGGCAACTCTGCCGAAGATGGAGGTGCCGTGACAGCAGCTCTATGAACCAAGCGTGCAGCACGTACAGGGGGCACGTACATGTTTCCGTCCTGTGTCATATCGCGTGCTGGTAGAGCTCCACACTGTCTTGCGCTGTCCTGGGAGCGAGGCATACAGGGCAAGGAGCGCTCCTGATGAGCACGCTTTCAAAAAGGAAACCAACTCTCTTTGAGCATGTTGAAGACATGCCGTTCGATAGGTCAGTCAAAAAGTCGTCTCCTGGCGAGTGAACATGGGGACGACTTTTGGAGACAACTTTTTTCAGCGCTCTGATAAGTCGTGTAGCCAATAAGTCATTACTTATTTAGTTGGACATCCCTCTCATGGACGTCACCACGCTGTTTCCTCCAATGGCAGCTCCACTGGTACATACTTTCTTAGACTGCTACCCTGTACGGATTTATTTCACTGTAGCAGCGGAGTCATTTGCATTGAAGCTGAAAAGTGGCGAGGGCAAGCAGATTCATCACATCGAATTCGTCTCGATTTTCAATTCAATTAGCAACATTAGCTTCAATTCTACAGCTGATACTTGTAGTCCCTCCCGACATAAGCGAACGCGATCTAGTTTTAATTTCGTTCCAAAAATCGTTTTCGTACATGTACATGTAGCTTAAAAAGCGCTCTACTACATGTCTAGCAGAGTTAGGATACAGCTTCATCCTGACGTAGATGCGCAAGTAGCTGCATTTACACTTTACACTTGTCTGCATTTCTCCCCAGCTTGATGCAGGGAGTGCGTCTCACGAGTATTTCGGAATGGTCGAGCTACTCACAAGCGCAGCGAGTACCCACTCGACGAGTGGTAGTATCCACCGTTGCTTCCCTTCGTCGAGCTTGTCGTGGTTGTGGTGGTGGAGGAGCTAGATGAAACACCGTCGCTGCCCAAAGTCTCGACAGTCGTCGTCGTCGTCTTGGTGGTCGAAGCGCCCTGGCCATTGCCCACCAGCATCGACAAGACATCCGACTTTTCATTCTCAGCACGTTTACGCATACGTCGGCGCTGGTTCTTGGTCAGCTTGACATCTCCCATGGTCGGCGTGCCGCCCACAGGACTCACACGCTTCGATGGCTGTCGCTGTTGCTGCTGCGCGTTGGGCTGTGAGTTCTCGTCACTAGCTTCAGCGTCACGAGCGCTGCTCGTCTTCTTGTCCTCGTCTTCTTGCTCCTCCGTCTCTTGCTGGTACCGACTACTGCGACGTTGCCGGAACTCCTCCTCACTGCGCAGCAGCTCCTGGATCTTGTCCTCCATTATAGTGCGAACCTTTGCGACTTCTTCCGTCGGTCCCTTCAGCGTGATGGCGCTGTCACTACGCCGAATTGTAATCATCACGTCCGGGAATTGCTTCTGTAGAGCACGGATGTTGGCTCCGCTCTT